GGACGGCGTGCACCGGGGAGATGGAGCACAGGATGTGAAGGCCTCACCCATTTCCCTTTTGGTCAGCCCTTCGTTATCAGCCAGCGCATTTTGCAGCACAAATAAAACTCTTCCCCCCCCCCGCCGCCCCGTATCAGCTACTTTAAAACGCCACGCAGAAAGTTCAGTGAAAAAGTGCCTCCTTCCTAGTTGAACAACAAAGCCAGAACCGGTTTAGGTAGCTTTTTTTTTTTTTTTGCTTTTTTTTCCCAGGCAACTTGTTAGTTAAATCGGTTTTTAATATGCTTAGGGTTTGTGTTTTTCAGAGAAATTTACGCATTATTAACTTACAGCTTGATGTGCCCAATTCTGAAACTGACTGAGAAACCGTAACTGTTACACAAGCTCAGGTAAATCATAAAATATTCATATTGCTGTTTCCCCTGTCTTCCAAATGGCTATAAAGGATGTATTGCAGAGAAGCACTGTGACAGTAATATGAAAATACAAGGCGCTGCACAGATAATGGTAAAATATACATCTGCATTTAAATATAAATTATTTCCAAAAATAATTTGTCCCATATTTGGGACAGTTAAAGATTAATTTAGGCCTACAATGAAATGTGTGTTTCATAACAAGAAAGAGCAAAAAACCTCACATTTTCATTGGTTCTGAATGTACATTTCAAAGCTGTGTATATAATTTTTAGCCCAGAGAGAACACAGTGCCATCTCCTGGAGCTAACAACATTACTCTTCTGTTCCGTTGCAATAATGGCACAATATTTCATCCACCCTCCCTTTCCAGTGAAGTGCAAACACCTACACAAAGAAACAGAAAATCTGGGAGCTGTGTTAATAGTCTGGGTTTTCAACTGAGGTATGAACAATGTGGTTAATTAGACTTCTATCTCAAATCTGACAATGGCTATTTATAAATATCTGAACTGTAGCTGTAATTCATAGTGTTGGTAGTGTATGTTCCTGAAACTTCAATGCAAAATAGCCAAAAGAAGGCAATACCTGTGATACTACCTATAGATGAGAGGTAATCCAAATTCAGATCTAAAACATCTTCTTCAGCTTTAAGTGATTTGCTAATGGGTTTGTTCACTGGGAACAGTATTTCTGGATCTCTGCTGAAAACCAGCATAAAAAAATTGAACTTCTCTGCATAGGGCCTTGATGCTACCCAATTATAGGCAAAGATATTGATTTCAATAAAAACAGGAGAATATTTTATCACGTATTACATGTTTTCAACATAAACCAAACCTTATTGCTCTGTTTAAAATAACAAAGCATACAGATCTGTGGAAAGTTGTGTGTCAAATCCAGAAGCTACTTAAAATGGAAACTAAAATCACTTCCCATACCTACAGCAAAACATTCTTCAGTCACCCCATACTTATTACCAGAGGCACATCCCAGCCTTGTGCTGTCTGCACATACACATGGGGAAAAACCCAGTGACCATAGCAGTACCCGTTACAACTCCCTACTATGACTTCTGTCCTGGGACTCTCTACAAAGCACGCTCACCAAATGCTTCTGGGGGACACGCTGAGAGAGAAAATGTCTAGCTCCAGCTAGCCAGGAGGTTTCTCCCAAGCATGCCTCAATTTTGGTTCTGTGTTTTCTGTGAATTGTCACAACTATTACTCTTACCTCTGCAACATGCTCTCTACGATCAGTTGAAAAATAAGACATTTTTCACTCATCTTGCAATTTTGACCTGGGAGAAAAAAGCCATATGTTAAATAATGTTGAACATTAACTCCAGATGGACTTGTGTCAGCAAAATGTCACTTCATAATAAGAGACAGTAAAAGTGAAGCTATTTCTTTAGGTGTTTTACTCAGGACTTTTGAAAAATAATTTAGGAATTTTTTTTGAGCCATGCAGGCTCAGCAAAAGCTGCCTCCTCATCTCCCAGCATACCTATGTAGGTAAAGGAAGATAACAGTTGCAATATGCATTAATTTTCTTCCTCGTTCACTCACCGTCTGAACCAAAATGACTGTGTATGGTAACATGTTCAATTAGATTAGTATCTGACTTGTAACTTCCCTGGAGGCCATCACACCCTATCCATTGACTGTAAAATTGTACTAATATTACAAGAAGCTAAAAGAATGAGATTTTACAATTCAAAAGCTCTGTATAAATTTGTAAATGGCCAGAGTTAGGAATGAACATCTGTGACAGAATCTCTGTGATACATGCATGTATTTTCAGTACTTAGGTCAATTAATAACTAAAAATGATTAAGGGTAATGGATAAATTCTGTTACTGGACTTTTTAAATCAGGTTAGAGTTCAAACAGAAAGTGACTCAAAATCCATGGTCTGTGCTGTGCTAATTGGAAAGCATGTATCAGACACAATTCCAAAATACAGTATTATAGCTCAGAATTCACTTAATTGAATTACTCTGAATTTACATCAGTGTAGCAGATGTAGTAACTCAGTCTTAATTATGTAAACAAAGATTTAAAAGTTATCTCAAATACCCTTTTGCCACATTAACATGTTGTTACATATGCCCTATAGTCAAAGTAACATAACACAAAATGTAATTTCAGGGTAACTTTTCAGGGAGCCTTAAATAACATCCAAAGATACAGGGCGTTCACTCATCAGTATTTGCTTCCGAGTTGTTTGCTTGCAAACATGAGTGAGTTTTCGTTCAGTGAATGAACTTCTGTGGCCTATGAAATTATCTGTTGGAATGGGAGACAACAGCAATCTACAACCACAGGGGTTGCACCATCTCACAATTTATTGTACACATTGATGGTGCAACACTGTCTAAAATCAGGATCCTTGTGCTCTTAAAAAACATTGCGTCTCCTACCTTTTCCCCACCTCTCCCGCAATGCAGGATTAAGTGACTTTTGGCTGGGACGTGAGATACATTGAAACCACCACAGGGAAATCTCCAGCTACCACAGGTCCAGTCCTCCATTGAGGCCATACTCTGGTGCGGCCTGCCATGCCAATGTGGCACGGTTCTCTCAAAAACGTGGGGAAACGGCATAAAAACATGATCCTACGATGCACCACCCCCCACTCTATGGCCGCATCAAGGTCTCAAGCTCTTGACACACAAGCTATGAGCAACACCATGACTGTGGCAAGTCTCCCATGTTTCTGCTGAGGCAGGAGGCCACAGGGCAAGCTGAGGGCCGTGACTGGGCTCCATGGGGAAGTCACCGCCCCACATTTGGCGCCCGTACCGGGGATCCCCTCAGCCCGGGACACGGCTCCAAGCCAGGCTTAGCAGCGACGGGATGACGCGCAGGCCGAGAGCCGGGGAAGGGGCCGTTCGCCTCAGGGATGGCCCCGCCCCTCACCCTCCGGCCCGCCCTGGGTCCTGAGGCGGCCGGTTCTTGGGTACGTGGGCATCTACATGACGCACTTTCACAACCAG